AATCTCCTTCCTCAATTTATAATTCCCCCCCTCACAATTTCTCCCACTTGCCTTCTAATCTCCTTCCTTTATTTATAATTCCCCCCCTCACAATTTCTCCCACTTGTCTAACTCTATGGTGTAGCCGAATTTTTTCCCCTTCCGTTTTAAACCTCAATAAATCATTATATAATTTTTAAATCAATTTTTCATCCATCCCCTGTAATATCTTGTCTAATTCTTGTGATTCTTTATAAAACCCCATAGTTCTCTACATCTTTCTTATATCTCATCTGGATTTGCATATAGGACCACCAGTCCAAATCCCCTGATTTTTTTAAATTCCTGTTTTTAGCTTCATCTCATATATCTTTATAAATTGTCCACTGTTTGGGTTTAATCTGCCCAGCCACGAGAAATAGTGGTCTTTAAATAAATTAAGATGAGATTGGATATCTTTATTATGGTCTTTGACCAGCCTTTCCAGTAAAAAACATAGCTTGATGTGACAATTTGTTATTGCAACATGAAGGAAAATAATAGAACAATAAAAACAAAATATCTAATTAAAGGTTTTGCACATTTGTAGAACTCGGTGAAGAGATTTCGCTATGTAATATGTGAGGGTGGATATTTCGCTAAACTGGGCAGGGGTGGGGCCAGCCGTGACGCATATGGGCTGGGAGCTGGGGCTGCGGGCCGCGGGCCACGGGCCGCAGGTTTGACAGAGCGCTGCCCCCCCCTTATATTAATTTAATCACAGACATTCAGGCTCAGTGTCTTAATTGTCTTAATTGAGTAGTCCTCATGAAATAAAATTGTTAATGATTTTGTGTTATGTAACTGAAGGTCTGTCATTCATTTAGGACTGCACTGGAAGGATTATTTTTTTAATTTCCCAGGAAGACCCACCAGTCAGATCCAGTTCCTGGATCTCGCTTCTCAGCAAAAGCAGAAGTCCTTGTTCCCCAAAACAGGGAAGAAACAAGCTAGGAAGCTTCCACAAGAGGCCCAAGTTGGAGTCATGCGTTGAATTAAGTCATGCTTGCTTGAGGCCTCAGATGATATGGGACGCCATCCATCATGACTTAACATTCTACAGGTCGTCCTCTATTTATGACCAGCTGCTTAGCTGCTGTTTGAAATTCCAATGCACCGACCTAAAGGGGTATTTATGACCGAGATTCAAAGTTCCAACATTCACCCCATGTTCATATATGAGTACATTTCAAATGCTTGGCAACTGGTCTTCATTTAGAGCTGTTTCCAGCACCTTGTGAACAGATGACCATGTTTAATGAAGGTTTTGCTGAAAACTGGTATTCACTTAAGGTTTTTTAGCAAACCCTACAACAAACCATTGGTTCACTTAACCTTGGTGTTTGCTTAA